TATTTATTGAGTTTGGAGTGTTAAACTAGACTAGTGATCTCCATGGTCCAGGGAAAATCAGCTTTATGTACTGGGGAGAGGATGAGGGTGTTTTTTATTTATTTATATTTTAGATAGTCAAACAATAGCTCAGGTTATTGATCCTTCTGCCTCAGTTTCCTAAGTGTTAGAATTATAGTCATGGACCACCATACCCTGGTAATTGGGATTAGTAAGGCATTTTCTGTCAGGTATCAAGTGCTTGTAAGGTATTGCCTTTTATGCTTTTAATTACTTTAAAAAATACTGGCATATATGTAGGGTAGAGCCGAGTTACTGAGAGGACTTAGAAGCTACATGTATAACAGGATCCAAGTCAGGTGGTCACTACTACCTGTAACTCCAACTCCGGGGCACCTGCAGTCACATGCGTAGAACACACAGACACACTTTTGGTGTTTTTGTTTTTTGAGGAGGGACTTCTCTATGTAGCTTTGGAGCCTGTTCTGGAACTCACTCTGTAGACCAGGCTGGCCTCGAACTCAGACATCTGCCTGCCTCTTCATGCCCGAGTATTGGGATTAAAGGCGTGCCTCACCACTTCCTGGCTCACAATTTTTCTTAAAGGAAAGTTGACATAATTTTCAGGCTGTGTTTCTTATTCTGGGTATTTAAATATTTTATAGGGTATTTTAGAACTTCACACTTGAACATAGATGATCTTATGTAAACTTTTATCATGTTTTTTCCCCTTTAGTGTTAGAATTTATGAAGCCTCTCCATTTGAAAAGGAAAGCAAGTTAATGAAAAAGTTTTAAGTTGCTTTTAGATTATGTTTTGCCTCTAAAAATAACTTTTCATTGAAGAATTAAAATACATTCTTTTATATTAACGCAGTTTTAATTACTGACTGCAGATAACATTTAAACATTATCACTCTAACCTCTTTTGGGCTGTGTAGTTAGTTAGTAGGTGGCAGAACTAGCACATAAAACCAGGCAGCTGGCCCGCTCGCTCACCTTGAGTACAAAGCACTAATGTCCCCCACCCAGCAGTCTGAATTTCTACGGGACCAGCCCTGCAGAGCTGAGAAGGAAGCAGTTGGGGAGTCAGTCGTCTATACTAAGTGTGTAACTGTGCTTGACACTGGCTTTGCTGTCAGTAGCTGTGAAAGCACTTCCATTATTCTGTAACTGTAAATAGACTGCTGCATTTCCTTTGGGCCACTGAAACACTTGGTTTATAAGTAGGATTAAGAAATGAAACTTTGTCAGTCAGCTCTGGGGAGGCTGAGGCAGGAAAATGACTATAAGTTTGAGGTCAGATAGGATTACGTGAGACCTCTTAAAAAAATGGAGTAGGGGGTACAGATGACCTTTGTAGATTAAGTTCTTTAATTGGGATTATTGGTTCGCTTACAGCTAAGGATCACATTTTAAATTTAGATGACAGCATTCGGAGTCAATTTGTTGCTACTTGAACCTAGACTATAACAGGAGGCCCCAATTTTCAAGACTCCCTCAAAGTGTCAAGTACTCTTGCTTAGAAACTTCCAAGTTCTTTCGCCTTACTGCAAGGTGTTTACATCTCTGCAGGAGTTAATAGCAGCTTGAGAAAAACCTTTCGTGTCAGGCTCCTTATTGGACAGACAGTAGGTATAAAGTAGTCCAAATTAGTGTTAATCTCAAGCCATCTCAGAATTAGAGGAAGTTAGACTAGTGTTCTAGAGAGCTTCCAATAGGTGCCTATTTGTCCATAAAGGTTAGCAGAAATTCTTCCACTAGGCTGCATACTATAGCATTAAACCATGTGCCTACAGAATAAAAATGGGGTGGACTTCATACTTCCTATTTAGTAAAGATAGAATACAGTGTTGTGTTTGTTGTAATGTATTGGGTTTTCTAGCTATCCGTTCAGCTTTTCTTAAAGCAGAAAAAAATCCCAGGTGCTTTTGTGCTACCAGAATACTAATACCTTTGTCATAAGGAGTTGTAGTTCACAGAAGATTTGGAAAACTTGACACCTGGCCCCTTTACTTACAGCATGGAAGGGAGATATTCATTATAGAACAAGTAATTGCTTGTTGGCATGAATTGCTGGCAAAAGTGAAAGAAAATGTGTTCTAAAAGCTAAGCAAGTGAGATGCACCTGATGTACTAGTTAAGTAGCTTATTTCAGAGAAAATGAACATACTACGGTAGCTTAGTAGAGATGGCAGACCCTAGGCTGTTAACATTGTGGCTGCTGTGTTGAAGGTGGCACAGCTGGGGTTTGTAGAAGACTATTGTTCCTGGAAGCCAATTGTGGCAGCTCCGCTAGAGGTGGAGGCTGGAGAATTGCCACCAATTTGAAGCCAACTTGAGTTGTAGTGTAAGACCTCGTCACAAATAGTCTTAAAACATTTCATTTAAAATAATTGGAGGTTAAAAACAAACAGTTGGAGGATTAGGGAGGGCAAGCAATACTTGGAGAAAACTAATACTATGTAATGTATTAAAGTTTAAAAAAAAGTTAAAGTTGACCAGAATATTTAATATCTGGATAAAGGGGATTTGTTTATAGAAGAGTGTTCACAGTGAACATTTTTAGCTCTGGTAAGGGTACGGAGGGGTTTTGTTTGATTTTACGTTCGAACTTCCTTTGGGTCAGTTGATGAGTTGGTATGCATATCTAATATTTCAGAAAATTAATTTCCTATCAAAAACAATTATGTGACTCAAAAATAGTAGATGCCTCATTCTGTGTGTCATTTTTTTCCCCAAGAGGTTTATTTATTTATTTAATGTGTACTGGTGTTTTGCGTGTATATACTCTGTGTGAGGGTGTCGGATCCCCTGGAACTGGAGTTACAGACAGTTGTGAGCTGCCAGGTGGGTGCTGGGAATTCAACCCTGGAAGGACAGCCCATGCTAAGCCATCTCTCCAGCCCTCTATGTGTTATTTTTATTAGGAAGTATATGTAACAATTTTAAATTGAGGACATTTTCCCTATACATTGCTTTCATGAAATAAAAGCAAGTTCTGTCTTGATACTTGGTTAATGGACTAGACAGAATTTTCTTGTTCAGGTTTATCCTATACAATGTCTTTTATTATACCTTTAGTTTGGTTAGACTGAAATAATTCTAAATTCATTTATTCATGGGGAAATTCTGTAATCACAGAAATGGTTACTAGTTAGTTAAATCTAGCTGAATTTGTTTGTGTTCTAGGACTTAATAATGGATATCTAAGCAAGAGGCCATTGCTTTGTAGTCAATATCCTTGTCTTTAAAAACTAGCATGTGCCTCACCTTGAAAGGTGAATGTTGGTAATGAAATTTTCATTTATGAAAGTAGTATTCTGGACCTGTAGGTTAAAAAAAAAAATACGGTGTGTATAGCAGTGGTTATTTAAATAAGAGATATATATTAGGAGTTGGCACTATTCAATTGAAAGAAATGTGTGCTGAGAAATTTTTAATTTTCCATGAAATTGGCAGTAAACAGACATTTAAAATGTACATAATGGGTTTTGGTTATATTCATTTGATTATAACATTACTAAAGGGTTATAAGTCTTACTTCAGGACTTGACACTTTGAGAGAGTCTTGAAAATTGGGGCCTGCTCTGTTATATTCTAGGTTTAAAACCTAACTTTAAATGGAAAGAGTTCAATGTCACCTAAAGTAAAGTTTATTTGTACTAAAAGTTAGCTTTGTTAGCATTAATTTAAACAAACTTGTGGTAAGAATTGATCAGTAACAACACTTCAGTAAAACGGACGCCTTAGAGGTGAAGATACAAATGAACATCTTACTGCCAGCATGGGCTGTAGTGGCAGTCTATTAAAAGCCTACGAAGTGGAGATGAGATGTTTTAATGTCTTTGCAGCACTGAAAGCTGGTACCTTATCTTCCCCATCCCTTCTCATGACCCCACACCCCCATAACCCCAGTTATGAAGATGAAACAATCTTGAGCAAGCATGGTTCTATCTCTGAAGTAAAAAGTTTTAGCCTTTTAGGACTAATTTTAACAATTTACTATGACTGTTTTTGACTCGTAAAGGGTAAAAAGTACCGGTTTGCTTTTATAATTACTGCTATTAACTTACTGGGAAAACAAGCAGATGTAGAAAGGACCACAACTGCTGCCAGGACTGCTTTTTGGCATTTTGCTATTATGTTGAGACTAATTTGGTCTTCTATATGATCTTTTTTTTTTTTTTTTTTTTTTTTTTGGTTTTTCGAGACAGGGTTTCTCTGTGTAGCTTTGCGCCTTTTCCTGGAACTCACTTGGTAGCCCAGGCTGGCCTCGAACTCACAGAGATCCGCCTGGCTCTGCCTCCCGAGTGCTGGGATTAAAGGCGTGCGCCACCACCGCCCGGCCTATATGATCTTTTCTTGGGTGTATTCCACTTACCATTTTACAGGCCTAAGCGGTTCATAACTTGCTGGCTGAGGCTCTACTGTAGGTAATCATCTAAGTTAGTGAGCTGTGATTTGGTGGGCAATTCTTTCTCTGTGCTGTTTATATGATTACTTTGGTCCTTTTTAAGGACTCTTAGAAGTGAAAAAAGTTAGTTCAGTTTGGAGGACTTAGCATTTTTCCATTGTATGTGCTATGAATTCTGCAGATGGGAGAACTATTAAAAGTAGAAAAGGAGTCTCAGCATAGACAGCATGCTGGGGGCTGCCACGCTGGAGACTGCACAATAGCCCTTGACATGGTTAATGAAGATTTGTTAGAATCTAGAAGCTAAGATTTTACCTTTTACAAAACTGCAATACTTTTACTTGGCATGCGTACGTATGTATGTAAATACCAGCAATTTGCTTGCTCAGTATTGTGGTTGATCAGAAGGAGCAGTGCTAAGTGGGACTTTAAACAGTAGGGTTTTTTGATATGTGCTGTGTAGGAAGAATAACATTTTATTGTACTAAATAAATGTTTGAAAAACATGTTTCTAATGTGAGTAAATGTAAAGCAAGGTTTAAATTTCTTTCTTAGCATTTTAATACTGCTTTTTGTCTTTACAGGAAAATGTTTATAGGAGGCCTTAGCTGGGACACTACAAAGAAAGATCTGAAGGACTACTTTTCCAAATTTGGTGAAGTTGTAGACTGCACTCTGAAGTTAGATCCTATCACAGGGCGATCAAGGGGTTTTGGCTTTGTGCTATTTAAAGAGTCGGAGAGTGTAGATAAGGTAGTGTGTTATATATTCTGATTAATGAAACGTGGAGAGTTTGATAGAGTAAACTTGTGTTACTTGTGGGTTCCTTTTCGTAAGAAAGAAGAGACACATTTCTTACATCTTTCTGTTGTTTGAAACAAGGTTCCATATGTCTTAGGCTGGCCTCAAGCTGCATACATAGCTGAGGATTACCTTGAACCTCCTGCCTCTTCCAAGTGCTGGGACAGCAGAGGTGCATTAACACACCCTGTTTTTTGAAGGGAGAAGCAGATTTAGAAATTATTTACTGAGTACTTTCCATGTGCCAGCCTTTCTAAATTAAAAGTAACTTTAAAAACAACTGAGGCTTGGCTGAGTGATAGTTTGTGCTTAGTAAGTACATGGTCTATGTTCAGTCTCTGCAGGCTTTTCCAAGAGGGTAGAGGGGGATTTTAAAAGTCTAATTAAAAAGATAAAGTATGACAAGTTGGCAGAAAGTGCCTATTTTACATTTTTGTTAGACAGGCAGTTTGTCTCACTTATCCCTGAGTCTATGAATAGAGTAGTTCCCTCAGACAAGCAAATGTCTACACGACAATTAACTTTTAATTCAGTCATTGTTTTGGTTCTGCACTGAGGGGAAGTAGCAACCATTGTTGATGTTGTTATCAGTTAAAGGTGATGGTTGCCTAGTAGTCAGTTCAACTGGTGTGGTACTCCCCCCATCATTCTTAGTGACTTTTGTACTTGGGCACTAGTCTATAGTAGCTGATGTCATATCACTCCATGGCTTGACAGTTAGTCTTAAACCAGTTGACGTAATGTTGGCATTAGGTACATTGTGTAATGATTTCTTAAGTAATTTATTTCTGAACATCAGTTAAGTTTTACATATTAAAGTGAAAAACTTCATTTCCTTAGGTCATGGATCAGAAAGAACATAAATTGAATGGGAAAGTCATTGATCCTAAAAGGGCCAAAGCCATGAAAACAAAAGAGCCCGTCAAAAAAATTTTTGTTGGTGGCCTTTCTCCAGATACACCTGAAGAGAAAATAAGAGAGTACTTTGGTGGTTTTGGTGAGGTATGTGTGTTTTGATCCAGTTTATGTCAAAATTAGTGTGTGATTGCACATTAAGTGGACTTGGCAAGTATGTATTTCAGAGTTGCAAAATTTTTTGGTAATAAGGATATTGATAGGAGCAGATCTGAAGATTAGGTAGTTTTTATTTGTTGAGCATGTGCATATGTAAAGTACTAGACACGGAGATGAAATAGTCAGACCTCCCCGCCCCCAAAAGAAGGGTCTTGTTAGGTAACCCATGCTCTCCTTGAACTTTTTCTTTGTTATTCTTCAACTCCTGAACTTAAGTCACCTTCCTGCCTTTGTCCCACATAGATTATAGGAATGACTGGCTGTTCAGTATGTTTAACTCAAAATTGAGAAGGAAGAAAAGTATAGGCAGCATGAGAAGGAAGTCAAGATTGAGTTGCCTAAAATATTGAAGGAAACATTTAAGAATAGGAACGTAATAAGAACAGAGTAGTGTAATAGCAGACTATAGACTTAGTGAAATAGTGAGCTACCAGTTCCTCTCATGAATTCATAATTAAAGCTAAGCTGAGATGTTTGTGGCCTTGGTCTCCAAGGACAGCATGCTGACATCTCTTACTTGATTGAAATAAGAATACATGCTATTGTGTTAGGACTAAAAATGGAATGTCTAATACTCAAATATTATACACAAAAATCTGGGTATATAGATTTTCTTTTGTGATTGTAGGAGCAAGCAAAAATGGAGTGGCTACTGCCCACCTGTGTAGCAGCAGCCACCGTATTCTCCACTGGAGAACACGGTGGCTGCTGCTAGTGTGCAGTGCTGTTCCTACATCACCACTTTGTTCTCAAATGTAGAGTCTCTCTTGCTTCTTTTAAAATTACTATTGTCTCATTTTGTTCTTGTGGGGCTCTGGGTTTGTGAGTTAGGTAGAAATACTGATAAACCACTGAAGATTAGAAAAATGGGGAGACAGCAGAGTGGGCTTGAATGACATGTGTTTTCTTTGTGCTATCCCCCACCCTCACCTCCACTGTGTAATTTGTAATTAGTGACAACAGAGCACAAACTAGAACGCTCAGTCTTTGTTTTCTGCTGTCAGGTTGAATCCATAGAGCTCCCCATGGACAACAAGACCAATAAGAGGCGTGGATTCTGTTTTATTACCTTTAAGGAAGAGGAACCAGTGAAGAAGATAATGGAAAAGAAATACCACAATGTTGGTCTTAGTAAAGTAAGTTAAAGCAACCATTGAGTGGCTTAGAAAATCTTGTTAGAGTGTACTGTTTGGTTTTTGATTCAAATTGCTTGCTTATACTTCCTGTCTATTGGTTTCTTAGGAAGTCACCAGTGAACTCTGCTTTTATTGGTGAGCAGTAGGGATTTGTTTGTTAAATGTATTTTGATGATTTATTTAGTTTGGTTTTTTTGAGACAGTTTCTCTGTGTAGCCCTGGCTGTCCTGGAACTTGCTCTGTAGGCCAAAGTGGCCCTGAACTCGAGACCTGCCTGCCCCTGCCTCCCACATGCTGGGATAAAAGGTGTGTGCTACTACCAGCATTAAAATGTATTTTTATATAAGTTTTTACCAAATAATTTTTTAGGACCTAACAAAACAAGTACCAGATCTTTAGCAAGCACATCTTTGATCACATCAGGAGTGAGAATTCCCTCTGAGTTACAATGAATAACCACTGTGGAAGGAAGAACCAAGTTAAGCAGCTTAGTTTAAACAGTATCGACTGTTCGATGATTACAGACTTGTCAGCAACTTCGTTATCTTGAACCAATATAATAATTTGATTTTTTTTTCTTTTAGTGTGAAATAAAAGTAGCCATGTCAAAGGAGCAGTATCAGCAACAGCAGCAGTGGGGGTCTAGA